GTATATTTATATATATATATATATATATATATATATATATATATACATATATATATATATTTATATAATTCCTTCAAGACCTAGTACTCCTTGAAGGAATGCATTTTGGACATACCGCCAATATTTAAAACTAAAATAATCTTATGATGAGGAAACATAGTCAATGTTTTGGTAAAACCTTGTAAATATTTTTCACCCTTTTATACAAGATGTCGTGAGATGTTAGCTCTTGAGGCTGACTCTTGGCTTCTACCACATCAAATTTTACCTCGATATCTGCTAAATTATTGCCCTTTGTGTGTGTGTTCAAGGTTGCTTAGGTGATGCAGCCATCTTCATTGTGGTCGACTCCAAAATTTAATCAGTTGCAGATGTAAATCCAGTGGTTACATTCTGAAATAATTTTTAAAACCCGTCCAGTGTTTTGCTAGATAGTTTAACATGACAAACAAACAAACGCACACAGAGAAATTGTCAAAAATATTATCATTCATGTTGGTTTACACAGTGAATGCATTTGCAGTCTGTTCTGTTGTGTTGCTGGAATTACTTTTACATTTAACCAGTGTCTCCTATTTCAGTACAACCACCACAAGTTTTTTGCCTTCCTGCAATAAAAAATGCAATTTGCCGTATGTTCAAATAAAAAAAAAAAATAGTGAGTACAGTGAGAACATAGTGATATAAAAAAAACATCAGGAACAAACTCCACAAAAATGTCCAAAGCAGTAATTCAGGTGCAGAAGGGAGATACCTATAGTATAAATGGCATGGACTGAAACCAGCAAAATAGTTCATAATAAACACTCTAATCCTGTTTATCTGCTGCCTTTGTAATCAACAGCTTTACCAAAACCTCCTGGGACACCCATCGTCACAGAGACCACAGCCACCAGTATCACCATCACCTGGGACTCAGGCAATCCCGACCCCATCTCCTACTACATCATCCAGTACCGAGCCAAAGGGCCGGACAGCAAGTATGAGACGGTGGACAGCATCACCACCACCCGCTACAGCATTGGTGGCCTCTATCCCAACACAGAGTATGAAATACGAGTGTCAGCCTTCAATAGCATCGGTCAGGGCCCCCCCTCCACCCGTGTGGAGGCTCGCACTGGAGAGCAAGCCCCTGCCAGCCCTCCCCGCAATGTCCTTGCCCATGTTATCGCTGAGAACAACGTGATGGTCCGCTGGGAGGAACCAGAAGAGCCCAATGGACAGGTGAGTGAAGGGTTGATCCTTTTTAATCTTTGTTTCATTGCGTTGTTGTTATTATTCTGCTGCATAGAGAAAAAAGATCTACAGAGAAGTAAATCCCTGCATAAAAGGGCAGAAAACACTCTTCGTATACAAACTGTAACTCAAAACTGTTAAAGCTAGCACAATTCAATAACCTGCCGAGCTTAGTCCTTTCAGTTTTTAAAAACGCCGTCTCCATGGTAACACTGTGAAAATAAAGAAATCAATCAGAAACAGTAAATGACATCAATGTATCTGTTTTCTGTATTCGCCTCATCCTGTTCGGGGTTTCAGGGAACTGGTGCTTATCTCCAACAGTCAACTAGTAAGAGGCATGCTACATCCTAGGAAATAGATTTTTATCGTCACGTTCACCTAAAACAATAAAGACCTATCAAAGTTTATCATCTGGAGCTACGGTCGACTGTGCATGTTCATGGGCTTTGCAAGGATTGTATTCTGCCAGTTTTCTCTGTTAGTATCTTCCTATCTTTCCCACCCTCAACAGAAACAAAAAAATAAAGGGTAATTGGACTGTCCACTCTAAATTGAGAGCTTTCCCTTGCGAGGCCCGTTTTCTTTTTTAAGCCTACCTAACTGAACAGTGGGCTCACAAAAGAACAAGAGTGAATTTGGTACATATGGGGATTAGAGATATTAAAGAGTAACAGAAGGGAGGTGGGAGAGCTGGAGGCTTGGGGAGTTGGCGTGGCCGAGGGATTACATAAACTCTGACTTATCTGCATTTCTAAAAGGTGTGGTGAATTCATCTTTTGGGTTCCTCTAGTTCAAAGGGCTTTTTAGTTTAAGATACATGACAGAACTTGCACTAAAGGACAAAACAAATGGAATGACATAAATTTCATGATAATAAATTCTTGTTGTGCTAAAACATGGTATTATGGATTACCATGGCTGCGTGACTGTGGACTTATGAAGAACAGTAAATGATGAGATTCTGTTGCAGATGACAAAAAAAAAAAAAATCCCAGGACAGAGAACGCAACTTGTTACTGAACAGCTTGCTTTTTGTAACTCTCCATAGGTAAAGGGTTATCGTGTATACTACACCAAGGACCCATCGCAGCCTATCAATGATTGGCAGATCCATAATGTCCAGGACAGCTTGCTCACCACTATCCAGAAACTTGTAACCTCAGAGACATACACCATCCAGGTCCTGGCCTTCACTTCTGTAGGGGACGGCCCCTTCTCAGATCCCGTTCATGTCAAAGTTTTGCATGGAGGTGAGTGAGCCGCATCACCAAGTATGGTAGTTTTTTGTACTATACGTATGTAAGAAATGTTTGTTTTGTTGTTTTTTTCTAATGCATCACAGCACGAGTGAGTTATGTTTCGTATACGTGCTAGTATACCATCTGAGTTTAATATGCAAGTGGCATATGCAAAGTTTAATGTATCTGTGAAAGCGAGGGCTGTCAGAAAATCCAACTCCCTCAGCTTGAGTAAATTCTAACAGCCAGCAAAGAGCTGTGGAGATTTACAAAAAGCAAACAGGGATTAATAAAGAAACGTGTCCCTTATACATCAGTGCTGATGGTGTCACTGTGACAGCTGCTGGGGGAGGCTGATTTTATGGGATTAAAGGTACAAACAGATGACAACTTCAAATCACTACAGGTTTCAGTTTTTTGAGTAGGCTTGAAGTCCTGCTGCGTCATCATGCTTTTTGCAAGCTTAAAATTTTCACTAAATACAGAATTGAAAATTATTTAAACTTTCTGTTCGTAAAAGTGTAACAACGTCATCAGCAAATTAAAGGCACAGCATTCTGTGAAGGAATACATAGAATACAGATATAATCATATTGTCTTTCTGGGGGTGAAATTTCCATTAAAAAGACCTTTTTTACATTTTATTAACAAGAAAATAGAACGTTTTATTTTGTTTTCTTAAAGGCCTTCACGTGAGAGTTCAGATCTTCACATATGGAAAGATTATGAAATATTAAAATCTTGTGCAATGTAGATAGCTTTTTTTAAGTTTTGGAAAAAATGTTTTATTTTTTCAAACTAACAGCTAACAGGTCCAAGACCAAAGTGGATAACTGTCATCTCAAAACCGCTTTAATTAAAAAAAAAAAAAAATCACAACAGTACATGAAACCGTCTTTTTAAATAAAGTTTACTCTGCTGTCAGTTTTACATGACATGATTGCTCCAGCAGAAATATTATTAGATTTCTGTCAGGAGTTCTAGCTGCTTCATTTTATGTTGGCAAAAAAAAAAAAAAAAAAAAACACACACATTTTGTCTAAATTACTATGCAACAGGAAATTGGTGTAGTGTAGCAAAGGCGCCTGTTCAGTGGAGCAGGTGAAGCAGCTGTTCCCCCATTTTTAGAATTTAAAATGTGGTCAGCTGTTACTAATACGCCCACACGTATGCATACTAGATATTATCAGATAAACTCATGTAGTGTTTATTGAGTCAAATTTTATTTTCACAACTAAAAACATCACATTAATAATAAAAAATAACGATTGTTCCATTCTGCACCCCCCCTCAACTTTGAGTTGGTTTGGTCCAACTCGGCCAGATGCCTGTGACCAGTCTGATAGTCAGACAGCATCCAGCTGTGGAGATGAGAAAGAATGCAAAATCTGATTTTAAAACTTTAAAAATATGTTGCATATTTTTTGGCAATGATTTAATCAGACAGAATAAAGTAAGAACATTAAATGATATTCTGCTATTTAGGAGTACAATATATATACAATTTTATTAATTTATTTTGCTGATCTAATATTGACTCTGGCCCAGAGCTCATTGGATTAAACAAAGTCTAAATCTAAAATTGGACTAAATGTGACTTAAATGTAAATTTTTTATAAACGTCTAAATCTGGCGGCATGGTGGCTCAGTTGGTAGAGCTGTTGACTTACAGCGAGAAGGTCGTTGAATCAAATCCCGTAGACAGTACTGGAACTACAGTCTTCTGCATCAAATAGCATTACAATTTGAATTCAAATGATCTTGTTCCTCTATTTTGTCACAAAATCAGGCCCCCATGGAAAGTTTTTGAATAAACAACAATAAATATTTTAGATGCAAACAGTTTTAAAGTGGCAGCAGTCCACTTTGGTCTTGGCTCTGTTCAGGCTAGCCGGGAGCTAATCAGTCTGATAAAAATAAATGTTTTTTATTCAAACGGATCTCCTTCAATAAGCTATCTACAACAGGTAACATATTAACTGTTCAAAACTATCCACAGAAGTCTACTTCTACAGAACTACTGCATTTCAAAATAGACTGCAAGACAAAACGCATAAGATACAGTAGCTGAGGCTTTATTTATTTATTTATTTATTTATTTATTTATTTATTTATTTATTTATTTATTTATTTATTTATTTAAAAAGAACGGCTCAAGCCCTGACTGCCTGTTTTGTCTTGTTCTTTTCAGTTCCAGGCCAACCAGGCAAGTTTAAAGTGGGGAAGGTGACAGACACCAGCATCGAGCTGACCTGGGAACCCATCTACAACAAGGAGAAAATCATCAAATATGAGCTGCTCTACAGACCTGTCAAGTTTGGCAGCGTGGTAAACTCTCTTTCATTTTTCTCTTAAAAGGGTATCTTAGCACTAAACTACAAGTGAGGATTTTTTTAAAGAAACTTTAAAAGATTAACCCTGCTGTTCAGCCTATTTCTCTCTCTTGCATCTCTTCTCCAACTTGTACCTTTGAACTCATCGAACTCTGATGTCTCCTCCTCTCTCTATCCCCCTTTCCCTTTCTCCTCTGTGTCGCAGGCGACGTTGAGCTTTGAGCCGAGGAACTCCTACACCGTGGAGGGTCTAAAAGCAAATACAGAGTATTCCTTCTCCCTGGCGGCCATGTCAAGCAAAGGCATCGGAGCTTTCACCAACGAGCTGGTGCAGCGGACGGCCCAAGCCAGTACGTCCTAGCTCAGCCGAGTTTACAGAATTTATCTGCTCACTTTGATTGTGTCATAAATCACCGTTATGTTGTAAATTTTTATGCAAATATTTTGACCCTTTAACTCACACATATATGTCACATTATATGCAGCACCTGACCTGGTGGGAACTTACATTTTTCCATGTTTCACGTTTTGACTGTACCGTCCATCCTGTCCTCCTGTCCGTCCTTTTCCGTGCATCCATCGTTTAAGCGTGCCTTCCTCCCGCCGTGCAGCTTCTCTCTTTTTATACACAGCCATGGCAACATGACCGATGGAGACAGAGTCCCACTTTTCCTCTTCCTCACCCTCCTTTCACTTTTTCCACTCTTTATCTGTATTTAATATCTGAAGGGCTGAAACGGTGCCACTTGCTGGCTTGCAGCCAGTGTTGTGGACAGTTAAACGATGGTGAATGGTCTGTTATGTTGACAGGTGAGTAACGGCCAATCTGTAATTTTATTTTTATTTTTTTTAACACCAGACATGCTATCCCTTGTCTTTTTTTCTCTTATATCTTCCACACTGACATTGTTAGTTAAGAGGAACTGAATGTTTGCTACCGTGTTACTTTGTCATATAAAGTCAAACCTGCCCTCAAGAGGACAAAAGGAGATAATGGGGGAAAAAGAAACAAGGGAAAGACTTAAAAAAGTTGTTTCAGTCGTGGCAAAGGCTCTACAGGCTGTGGCGCCTGTAATGGGGTAAGTTTGTGGCAAGTATTTATTATAACTCAGCTGAAAGCTACTGGTTTATAATTTTACTATATATATATATATATATATATATATATATATATATATATATATATA